GCCCCGGCAATGGCGTAGGGGGTGGGGTGGTTCATGTCTCTCACCCACGCCCACTACTCGAAACGCCTTGGGTGTGGCCGGGCACTGCTCAGTGTTCTGTGACCTTTCCACCCAGGGTAGCGGGAGGGAGGAACAGTTATTGTCCCAGTCGCCAGCGCCGTGGTCAAGCCGAGGTGAAGTTTTGGGGAGTCTGAAGTAGAGTCTGCAGGGGGAATTTCGGGTCGTCCGTGGAAGGGCCTGTCCCACGCCCGCGCATCTCAGCAACCAGCGCGTCATAAAAGGCTAATTCAAGTGAATTTACATCTGCGCATGTGGCACAGATGCGTTGAGGCTCTCTCTTGGCCTGCAACTGTGTCCAGCACAAAGAGGCTTTGGAGGGGCGCTCACCGATCGCGTTACGGATCCCACTCGTTCCGTTGTGTCTTGGGTCTCTCTCTCTCTCTCTCCCTCTCAAGCCCGCCAGCAGTGGTTCAGTGGCTAGGGCGTCGGACTTCTAAGCAACAGGTCGTGGGATCGAGCCCCAGGGGTTGCGGCCCTCGGGGTTGGGTATGGCTGGCTGACGACGGCCAGCAAGTCAGAAACGGCCATTCCAGTTTACCTTGCCTCTGTCGGTAATGTTAGGCTCTAGACTCGATAGCTGAAGCAGGGATCTTATTTATCTAACCTCTTGAAGCAGTAGGAAACGGAAATAAAATGCTCCCCGTAAGACGGGCTGTCTTGCATTCACTTGCTAAGGGATTAAGACTAGGATTAGGGTTTAAGTTAAAAGTTAGGTTAGGGTTGGGACATTGGACTAGTGACTAGTGTCTAGGTCGTCTTTATGGAATTTAGGGTAAGACCGTCTGCACTACGGGGGGAGGGGTCTCTATTCTCCTGTCTTATCCTCGGATCCATGATCAGCGGGACAGGGAAGCTCAGGAGACTGCCGCATCAGCAGCATGCGTCCACCACGTGGGCGCATCACGTCTTCTGCTGGCTAGACCTGGTCTGAATAATTTACCAACGGGCTTCCATCGCTGATGTTCCTGGTTGACGCAGTGTATTATCTGACGCCTTATGGTTGCCTCCGGTCTGTGTGCAACTCCAACCCCAAGTGGTGCGAGGAGGCGGCCGACAGCTTCCGAAACGTTCTAGACATAGGGAAGTTGCACACAGACCGAAAGCAACCACCAGGCGTCAGGTAATGAAACCGAAAGACCCACTGCCACGGCAAGAAACGTCTGCGGTCGTTTATCGGATTTGGTGTAGTTGCGGACAAAGCAACTACGTCGGATAAACCGGAAGACAGCTCCGAACGTGAATGGCCGAGCACGCTGCAGCGGTGCTGAGAAATGACGCCAGCTTGTTGCGGCTCATTCGACATGATCCGGTCACACATTCAAATTCGACGACGCCGAAATTTTCGCCAGAGGTGAGCCGTGAGCTGCTTGACTTATGGTTTACTGGTCCCCAGTCCATTAACAAATGCAATGAACTTCCCCTTCCATACTCGGTGCTGAGACTTCGCGTAGGCGGAGTAACTAGCCATGCGGGGAACGCACAAGTGAACACTCTTCCCAACACCAGGGTCGGTGGATTAGATGCTCGAGCAATCATCACACCAACATCCAACACACGTGATGGAATTACAGCAATTAACGACGCGAATGTCGATTGCCCTTCAGCACCGGAGTTGGCAGATGGTGTGACGAAGATTTAACAACGTCGGCTCTTAGTACTGCTTGTACGCGTGCGTTCGTATGAGTGGTAATACTGCCCAGAGCATCTTAACGGAACGTAGGCTCCGAACCGCAGAACTATGTCTGAGGCAGCCCGCGATGCGTTCACTCGTCGCCGCTCCTTATGACGCATACAACTTCGTCAAAGCAGAATTTGTTCAATATGAACTTTCGAATCAATGGGAAACTAATTAAACCCCATCGTTTGAAGACTATCATGATCTTCACTTTGTTGACCACTGGGCATTAGACACCGCAACTGATGAGGGCATTCTCCAAAGTTTTGGACCCATTCGCCTCCAGATGCGGTCACCGACATGTGGGTTCCTGAAAATCCTTGCCTAATGCCAAAGTCCTCAACTTCTTCTTTATAGGCGGCAACTGGACGTACGAACCTAAATGGACGATTCCAAGGTGAATGTCGACGTCTTTCGCATGGCCGACCCAATTGGTGGCATCCTACGGTCGATGCCTCACAACATCTGTGAGGGTTGCCACGCGCCAATCGACGAGCGAGTCTTCCTGGCTGTCGACAACCAACTCTGGCATGCCGCGTGCCTGCGCTGTGATGCGTGTCGCGGTGACCTTCAGTGGGACCAATCGTGTTTCATTTACAAGGGTCGTGTCCTCTGCCGCGCTGACTACCAAAGGTTCCCTTTGAACATTGATTACCCCTTCCGAAAACATCACCTCTTGCAAAAATCAATTAAAAAGACGAACTACCTACAGGAGAAGATTAGGAAAGCTGATAATGATCAAATTTTGGGCTTCAACGTGCCTTGTTGAAATACGCCCTAGAGCTTCAATCATTACATACCATTGCGGCGACTAGGGAAACCGAAGTAGACATCGTAGAATAATGGCAACTTCCCTTGATAGACGTCGTAAAAGGAATACTGATAGGGTGAGAATATGAACCCTGGGACTCCAGGGAACTACACAACCCTCTACCCATTTCCACAGGGAATTATATTGCAAAACTATTTGTGGATGGAAGTTTGGGAAAAATCGAAAACAACACAAATTCTTTCCCTGTAGCACGTCTCTACGAACTAAAAAAATTGGTGACGGCAATGGACAACCTCTTTTTCCATGTGCAAATTGTGTGGAGACCCAGATGTCTTGCCGATAAAGCACCCAGCGACACTACAGTCCATAGTTTTTCCGGCAGTGCGGCATAAACAGCCCGAGCTCTCGACACCTCAGATTTGGGCAAATTACTTGACTTTAAGATAATCGAAATCGATCTTTTCTATTCACAAACGTTAACCCGGTCGATAAACAGTACGAGACCGTTGACCTCGACGTCCAAGCCAACAACGGCACAAGTTAAACGTTTGGTCACCGCCAATTTTTAAAATATGTAGACTAATTGAACGTGTGAGACAACTTTTCGAGACAAATTTACGCCAAAAGTAAAGACTGGTCAACACCTATTAGCCTCATTCTGAACCCAGTGATCAATTTTAAACCAATAAAGATCCTAGATCTTCTGGATTAAAGTCGGAGATTGTTTAATTGACAGAAACAACCCGGCCAGAATGACTATTCCAGTTTTTGTGTCTTTGCTAATGGTGTGATTGCTATAGGATAAAAGACCATGAGTGACCGTACGTCATTAGTGGTAATCTATCTGAACAGTGCTCACACGCACTTAAACTGGGCTGCAGTCCGCTGGGTGTGCATAGAACTGGCATAAGTTCACGTTCTCACACCATTGTATTCTAATTGCAAACCTACGTGTATGGAATCAAATCAGTAGCAGAGCTCAATGACCGAGTAAACCATTTGCTCCCAATCTACGCGTCCCACCTCCACGCTCGGGAATTTGGACATTTGGAAATTGTCATAAATAGCCTGCCGGACGGGCGTCTCAATAGGGTGTCATAGAGGAAAAGTTAATTAGACAGTTCTTAAGTTTGAATTGGGGAAGAAGCTCACAATTTTTCCTGCAGAATTATGTATCTCATGGGATGGCCTATCTAGAGACCATTATAAAAACGGTCACAGACATGACTTAACATATTCTCACCGCCTCTTCCGATTTTCTCCTTTGACAGCCTTTCCCTGTGCCCCGGCTGTGATCGAAGACTGTCCGAAGATGATCTGGTTTTTCGGCTGACTGAGAGGATTGTCTACCACTCTGAGTGCCTCCGTTGCCACGCGTGTGGAGTGGTCTTGCGTCTGGGTGACACCTACGCACTTCTGGGGGGACGAAGTGTGGTCTGCGCAAAGCACGCAACAGAAGCAATGGCAGCGGCAGATGTCAATGCGGAACCTCAGATCTACGAAGGGGCATCATACTCCGATCAGCAGTCAGGTGTCATAACAACAGAACGTGGTGCGCCGGGGACACGGAAGGGTAAGAAGCCCGGTAAGAGGTCATCGAAAAAAACGTACTGCAGTGTACAGTTCGATCGGCTCACGTCGCTTTCTTCAACTCATGTTCGACGGCACCAGCAGCAACTACAGGAACCCTCGCTGTTCACAGAGGACAATTCACCCCTGGGTCAGCCAAGTAAGCCAAGATGCAAATATTATTCGTTAAAATACAATCTACTTACGCGTTGTTAGTAACACATACGTATTTGCTTAAAACAGCGAAGAGCAGCAAATTGTCGGTCCCCGTCGACAAGTCAAAAAAGACAAGAGCTTCGAGATGTCGAAGTTCTGCCATCAATGGAACAACCAGATCCAAAAAGCGTATTCGAACTTCCTTTAAGCATGACCAACTGCGAGCCATGAAGGCGCACTTCGAGCTTAACCAGAATCCGGATTCGAAGGATTTGCGGAAACTCTCAGATGAAACCGGCCTTACCAAGCGCGTTTTGCAGGTAAGCAACAAAGATGCTTACAGGTTTGCCAACAGAAGCAGAATACTATCATTTACAAGATCAAATGCTTGCGAAAGAGGCCAGTGTTCTGAGGTTGGCGACATCTGTTGTCCACAGTAAATACTGTCAAGTCAAACCAAGTATATCCCATAGCTACTTAAATGACCTGAAACCAGCAGAACAGACTAGTTTGCATTCAACGGTTGGCGGAAGGGATGAGAGAGTTAACGACTGATCTATTCGTTTGAATCGCAGAGGCTCAAGGAAAGTGAATGAGGCTCTCTTGGTCAACAGAATCACTAATAACACACGCATTGAAAAAATGTCACGCCTCAAAAGCGGTACTGTTTGCGTGAATATCGTACGCGGCAGAATATAGTGTAAAAATCGGGCCTCTAAATTGGCTACGTGAAATAAGTTTAATTAGATCAGGAAAGGTAAGTGACGCCTTCTGGACAACCCGCTGGTCTCCTCAAAATTGATCCTTCATCATCTGCGGCCCCAAAAATCCCATGATATGTTCTCGGGCCAAATAATTTTATAATCTTCCAACTGTTCGATTTGCTAACTGAACTAACCGTGCTTCATTTTCCTTCGCGCGACCAAGCCACATTTTCTCTGAATTTTAGGTATGGTTTCAAAACGCAAGGGCGAAGTATCGACGCTGGGGTTCGCTTGCCGATTCATCTGATGCTGATCAGTTTTTCAGCCCTCTTGGCCAGCCAGACTCTCCTGACGTGACTCAGTCCCACAGCACCACGAAGAACGACCAGATTTTCGCGCCAATCAGGGATATCCTCCCTCAAAATATCCCTTCAGATGGTCCAAAATCGACATCGAACATGGAAGACATGTTTTCCGAAAGGCTAAATGAATGGCAGGAATCCACCACTCCCCCGCCGAGAGATTCGACCCATCTCAGAAGAGGGGTGTTTGAATTGTCAGCAGAGTTTCGGCTGATCAATTTGCCGACTCAGATAACCCCCTTACAGAGCCAAGTAGCCCCAGTCACTTGAAGTACAGCCAGCGTGGAAGTAAGACAACCGCAAGGACAGTGTCCTCAAATAGGCCCGCGGAATCGGAGGACGAATGAGTAATGTGGACAACAATGTTATGAGCACCGATTCAAATAAAAGATCTCACCAGAAGACGAATTATGTACATTTCCTGAGGTTACAAGGCAAAACTCGGACAAATAGTGAGGAAGAATGACAGAAACAAAGAGGGATGGGCGAGGCTAAAAGTGAGGTTTGATTAAAGTAGGCAGGGCCTACCATCACAGTCCAAGATGTAGGGACCTGGAGATGCACTTTGTCGGACGAAATAGACCCTAAAATGCTTCCATATCTGTGAATAATTTTTGTTGACACAGGCGTGAATCGGCCAGAACAACAGCCGTCTTAGTCTACGCTTGTCACCCCTGGTGCCTCCTGCTCACCCCATGCGGTGTGGATGGGGGAGAAGGCAAGGAGGTTAATAAGAGTTCTACCAGAAAAACAACTACCGAAATAATTCAAACGATTCGGTTATCTTAGTTTTAGCACCCACAACAGCTGCTAGTTACCACCGCCAGTCTCAGCGTGATTTGGAACACGGCTCGAGCCCTACTGATTCACTCTACAAAATACATATTACTACCTAATTATGGGTAGTATAATAGTTATGAATGTTTTGGTGCAGAGGGAAGTAACGTCGTGTTTGTTAAGGATAGAAATTCTGGCAAACTCAAAAAGCAGAAGACTGTCGAGCATAGAACTACGCTTGTTCCTCACGGCGACTCCTACTATTATTGATCTTGACACATTGCGGTCTGGTAGGCAATTACCTGCTCTCGATGTCCGTCAACTTAGGATCGGCATGTTTGTTCTGAGAAAACAAAGCAAATCGAGGCTCGATTACTGCCGTCTGAATGCACATCTGACCTATCCAGATCGGGACCGGCAGGTGGTGACGCATTGAAGAACTTTGTCTTTATGATTATGATAAGCCGTCGGTTCTCCCTCATCCATGTTTGCTCTGAACGGTATGAGTGGGTATGTCTGTATGAGCGGGTGTTTTCACTGGTGGATCGGTAGCTACACATAGAGGGTTGCTGCATGAGTTGACTATTCCGCTCTGCCGCCTATGTCCACGCTCTGGAATCCAGGTCTCATCTGTAGTCGCAGGAAACCGACCAGAGGGCAACGTGCAATGTCGAAAGCGGAACTTTTTAAGTTGAGGCGCTCCGCATTAAACCAACTCATCTGTCAATAATAGAAATCGAAAACTGCCAGGGTTTAAGACGAAACTGCTCGTCAGTTTGCCATACAATTCTGCCATAATTCCCTCATTAGAGCTGATAGATGGACCCGACAAGTACGGCCGAGATAAAATATTGGACAGAAAAGTCCTCTCCCTAGAATGACCTAGTCCATTAGACAACTCACAACAATAATAAGGCTTTTAAATCAGCCCAGAACTAACTAATCTGGAAATCCAGCATTATCCAACATTCGGAAGTGCAAGCGCTAACTGCTCAGCTATGGACGTGAGTAAATCTCTGGTCATAGTATGTTTCAAGGACTGTGCTAAGTGGTCGTCTAAGTACACAGGATAAGGCGACCGTACAGTACAATACCACAAGAATAAAGTGAGAGATTATAGTTAGATAGCCCGAAATCATGTGCCATGTGATGGATGCCGGCAACAACTTTCGCTGGCAGACAGAATACTGTCAAACAGCCCCTCGGATACTATATCAGCTAACAGCTCAGAAGCCGTCCCACACGCATATCAGATACTGCCCTGCTAAATATCAACTCAGAGAGATCGAGAGCTGATTTGACAGCCCTGGCATGTATAACAACGAATTCAGTACTTTCTAGGTTCCCTCACTGTTATACCAATCTGGTTCTGACACCTCGGGCGAATGCACCTTTCTTCTGGGATCACCTATCGCCATGGAATTCACATTGTTCTCGAAGTGAGTAGTTAAGCCGAAAAACATGAATGTGGGAACATCTATTGCCCATGTATTTTAGAATTATTTGAAGGAAACCCACAAAACTACCCCATCTCCATCCATATTTAACAGTGCGCACGTCTTGACTGTCATCTCAGCCTACACAAAATTATTAAGCCTTCTACCCGCTCTGAATTATTTGCTATTTTTCTGAATGCCAGCCATGTACGGAGAAAACTTACGCCTAGACGTCATCTGCACACCGGTTAAAAGACGCAACCTGTTCCACACAAAGCCCACGATAGGAGTAGTAACAGCAACAGCAAGGTTGAGTACCTAGTCGGAGACGTGGGACGGCATACAGCCCTCCAATCAGCAGCCGGCTGTCATGCTCACGACATGTGGTGTGCATCGGGGAGAGGACAAGGAATTAGATAAGAATCCGTCCATAAAAAGTAAGTGTCGCAGTAATTCTAGCGGCATCCAACGATTCTCTAATCGTACTTTCAGCATCCGTATAAACTGCCACCATCACTATCTCACCGTGCTCCTCGATTCAACCCAGCCGCCCTGATGTTATTTATAAAATACATACTACTACCTAATTGTTGGTAATATACGAATTGTGGATGGCTTTGGAACGGGCGAAAACAGGCCGTGTTTAGTGGGTTCGGAAATGCCGACAAGCCCAAAAAGACAGGAGGCTTTATAGTTTGGAATTATGCAGCTAATTAGACAATCGGATCGAAAAGTGCTTTAGGACCTCGTTTTATTTCGAAAAAAGAGCAGTTTTTTGTAAAACCCGGCCGCAATCATGAAAATGCAACATGTAATACAAGCATACACCGAAAATATCCGTTGGGACCAGCTATGTCGAGATAATTAAGGTTTAGATACGTTTTCCCTTGCTTCAAAAAGGGACCAGGCCATTGGAAATTCCAGTATTAATTTGCCTTGTGGCTGCGTAGCACACTCTGTTCCCATCTTAGTTTAAGATTTAACAATCCTTCCACCGTTTAGACACATCTTCCTATTTCCTTCCCGAATGGCCTATATTTCTCTCATGTTTATTGTACTGCAATATGCCAGAATAGTCCTGGTATATCTAATTACTTTTCCTAATAAAGGCAATCAAGGACTCTGCATTCTGAAATATCTAGTTCCGACTGACATCTGTCAGTCTATGTTTGGGTGACTATCAGCCATGCCATTTGCTTCCTAACACTGGCTACGCAGTAGACGCGTTGGGCCAACACGGGGGCTAGATCGGAATTCGACAGACGTTGTCGCAATGCGCACCATAACAAATGCCAACATTAGGAGTATGATGGTTGGCCCAGTTGTTGGCTCACATAGAGGTTTCCGCTGTCGCCCACAGTTGTTGTTGTTGATTAAAATGTTGTTGATAAAATGTTTTTTGTGGACCAAGGGATGTGGTGGTACGCCTGGGTGTGGACCCGACCGCGCCAGCCACCTGCGCCCTCACCGGTCTTCTTGACTATGAAGCTGGAGGGAAAGAGTGCAGCAGATGCTACGCAAGTCGTCATCCTTACTCTCACACCGCTGTGAAGCATACGGCAAACATCTTGGAAACCGACAGTCGAAATGTCATTTGACATGTAATGGGGGCTCACATGATGTGTCTGCTACATTCGAGTGTTTGTAACTGTCAGATCTGAGACGGAGAGATAAAAATTGGTTTGTGTCGTGAAAAAACACCGCCGAGTTTTACTAGTAAACAGCTGGACAAAGATTTCGCACCTAGACTTTTGACGTCAATATCGTCGAATCTGAGTTTTTGCAAATGAGTTTTCATTAAACAACAGGGTGATAAGTTTAAGGCCAAGAAATGTTCTATACTCAACGAATAATTGTTATTAAAGCATGACGGTAGTCCTGTCTTCTCAAATATCACTGATCAACAGCGATGGTTGACGTAAAAAAATCAGCTGGGGGAGGAGTGTCAAATTTAACTAAAAAAATGCGTAAGGGCGCCCGAGTCTAAATTTTTGAATTGTCCGGAGAAATGATTCGTTGCGCACAGTTGATGGTGCTTAAAAGAGGTCTGAATGCCCTTTATTGATCAGACCATCACATTTGCTGCACCCGTCCAACCTCGAAAGCCTCCTATCTTTTTGTACTTTTCGGTGTTTCTAACCTCACCAAATACGACGTCAGTTCCCTCTGGTTAAAAACAGCTTATTAGCATATTACCGATAAATAGGTAGTAATATGTTTTTCTCTATTAAACCAGGAACACCTAGGCTGATGTCTAGAGTACACTGAGATCGTGGTGGTGGACGGCTTATAACTGTGACGAGGCTGTAGGAGGCTTTACCATCTGGAATGAACTGAGGTGACAGTCATGACGCGCGCACTGTTAAGTATGGAAAGGCATGGTGTATTTTTGAGGTTTTCAAATAATTATAAAATACATGGGCAATAGATGTTCCCACATTCATGTTTTTCGGCTTAACTACTCACTTCGAGAACAATGTGAATTTCGTGGAGGCAGGTGATCCCAGAAGAAAGGTGCATTTACCCGAGGTGTCAGAACCGGATTGATATAACAGTGAGTGAACCGAGAAAGTACTGAATTCGTTGTTATACATGTCAGGGCTGTTAAATCAGCCCTCGATCTCTCTGAGTTGATACTTAACAACGCAGTATCTGATATGCGTGTGGGACGTCTTTTGACCTGTTGGCTGATATAGTATCCGAGGGGCTGTTTGACAATATTCTGTCTGCCAGCGAAAGTTGCTGCCGGTATCCATCACATGACACATTATTTCGGGCTATCTGACTATCATCTTCCACTTTATTCTTGTGGTCTTGTACTGTGAATTCCTTGGAGATAAGCGAGCTAAGAAGAAATTTTTCCGTAGAAAATTGGCGCACTTTCCCGAGGTGTCAGAACCGGATCGATATGACAATGAGAAAACCTAGAAACAGCTGAATTCGCTGTAATGTATGTTAGGGCTGTCAAATCAGTCCTCGGATTGCTTGAGTTTGTATTGGACAGCGCAGTACCTGGTATGCGTACGGGACGTCTACCGGACCGTTGGACAGTGTTCT